CAGCAGCAGCATCATCGACAGCATGGTATCAGCGTTGAACGTTGATGCTTCGCTTCCCTAAAAGGCTGGTGCGGCACGGGTTTCTTTTATGTGTGAAATTAATGGTTGTACGTGGGATGGAATGCTTCCAGGGCACCAACACCCAAACAGGAGGACGATTAGGCTCTCATCCAAAGCCTTTAGCACAAAAGCCTGACCATAAGGCAGCGGTGTTTGGTGGGAAGTAACGTTTCGTTTCAATTTTTACAGAACAAGCCATCATAGATGTTCCAAACTCTAGCCTGGAAAGCCATGAGTCTGTGTACTTCAGACACCAATGACCTGACCATAAGGCAGCGGTGTTTGGTGGGAAGTACAAGTACGTTTCAATTTTTACAGAACAAGCCATCATAGATGTTCCAAACTCTAGCCTGGAAAGCCATGAGTCTGTGTACTTCAGACCTCCAACCAATGACCCACCTGGTATGATGACTCAGAGTGTGTCATACGGAACCCCCCCCCCCAGTATAGCTGAATGGGTCGCAGAGGCACAAAAACACTACAACACGGTAAGATCCAGTCTTTACGTGACCTGAAACTGTCGGACAGAACAAACTATATTCATAATCCCGGCTCGACTGAAAACTGACTGCAAATATCATCACACCAACAGAACGGAGTTAGGAAGTCTTTTTGCAGCAAAAAAGGAGTACACTCGAAACCATTTAATGGAAGTATGAGACTGAAATTTGTCCTCTGAAGTGCTCTTGGTCAGGAATCAAGCCCTCTATCTGTGGTTCTGACAAGTCCATCTTTCATTTTCTGCTTCTGTGTTTAAACACTTGTGGGTGCTTAACCGATAACGGGAAGTGGACGAAATTTCCGGAAAATCATTTTCTGGTAGAACCCCATAAGTCTGTCGCGAAAATTTCTAAGACCTCCGAAAAACTATTGAGAGTCAGCTGACCCAGAAGTGAGCCACATCCCAGGTATGAGACACTACACATGAGGATGCTGAAGATCCTTCGGCAGCCTACAACCTGTTTCACCCTTTTGGGGACTCATCAGATAGGCGCAGACCGCGAGTTTCCATAAACCTTACTTTCTGCTTTAACACCAGCTAGTACACGACAACCGAATGACATTCGTTTGCAAATGCCTTTATGATGACGGATTAATCAACCAAATTTCTCGTTTATTACGTTTTTTGCCAACTGCGCACAATTCGACGTTTCAACAAGGAGCCGTGTCTACTTGGTGAGACCCAAATAGGTTGAAATCGGTTGTATATTTCTCCGGGTTGCATCCTGCTTTGAACGACCCGGTGTCCAGATAACAACTAAATTCTGCAGGTAAACATCTAACTTCAGGTACTATAATGGGCTTGAGCTGTTGGCCTGCTCCAGAATGCGATCATCATTGGGGACCCCAAAACTTTTGTTCAGAGCCCGACAGCGAGACGACTGATCGGGACTTATTGAACGTCAATGAACAACTTTTGTAGGATGCCGTCAACAGACCTTGTGTATTCAAAGGTCCATGTTTGCACTTTTCTCCTGGAAACCTATCAGGAAACGGACAACCTGGCAGAGTCACGCTTACCAACATTTTGTGATTTGAGGCGATCCGGGAAATGGTAAGTAATATTGGCAAACGGAAAGCTTGGCAATATTACAGCGAAGAATCTGAACCTACATGTCGCCTAGTAAAGCAAAGCTGGGTACACTCACTATGCATTGTCCGTGCGTAAACAGTCTGACGCATCCTAACCGTTGCATTTTTAACCCCTGAAAGGCAAGCAACGGTTAAGCTGGTCCTCGCGGATCGTATGACAGCACTTGGGAGGCCTCTAATCACAGAGGTCAGAATTCACGAGATTCGCCGTTGGTAAATAGAACTATGGTGTTAGTGTTATTGGAAGGCTAGCATATACTATTCCAAGGCTTTAGGAGAAGCTCGGATTAGACATTTTATTATGTATATGTCCTGCAACAGTCGATGCATCCCGTTTTTCTGCCCATATTCAGTCTCATAGTCTTTCGCCGTAGAAGTCACCAAACTTTTCACGCACTTTTCACTGGCTAGTGTGAGAAGCTCTGCCCCATTATGTGATTTACCCCGCGCATAGCGTTCGATTATGCCCTGATCACCCTTTCGCAACGACCACCAATCGCGGGTCTCATAAGACGGCTGTTATAAGCCCTGGGAAGGGCGAAACCGGCCGTGGGCTGTCGGAGGGTTTTCGGCAACTTGTGAATAGTTCCCTTTATGGCTGTAAAGATCTTTTACCGCTTGATTTCATTTTACTGGTGGAATAATTAAACCAAGCCAGCCCCACGTAACCCTTTAATCTAATGATGCTCCAAAACTGAGAGACACGCGCCCGGTTACACTACTCTACAGCGTCCCGTAGAATGGAACAAACGTTTTCGACTGGTTGCATCAGCTATTTTAACGTTATTAGTTTAACTTTCAAATTTGCATACACATCAAGTGCTAACGCCTCAACAATCCTACTGCTGAATATTTTTTAAGAGAGGCTTCGGCCAATATCTTGTACTTTATGCACCGTTGTATTTGAAGAACGGATGATAGTTTGAACTCAAGTGGCTTTCTTACAAAAATGCACGCCCAGGGAAGATTATATACTCGTTTTTATCATCTGGTCAGCCGGTGGCTAAGTTGAGCGTGGTCTCTGTTCCTACGAAGCTGTTTGTGGATAAGTTGCTCTAAAATTCTCAACGAAAGCTTTCAACAAATTTCTTCTGATCCAAGTGATCCGCCATTCTACAATACCAGATGGGGTAGCAATGGGTTTAGTATGTACTCATCCGACTGAGACATTCAGAATGCTCTACGTGAGGTATGTAGTTCTTTATGTCGAGTAAAGAGCTAGATTCTTGACTTGAGATCATTCCAGGCGCAACGCGCGAACGACGGTCAAACAGGAAGCAACCGATTACCAACCAATTACAAAGCCTTAGGCATGTAAGCGATTGCTTTGTCACTTGTGATTAACCGTTTGAATAACGCGCGCTCACAAAGTATTCAGTAGTCGGTTGAAAAGAGGAAACTCGAGACCAGCGAATATACACTCATTTACACGCATCTGATCGTGGGCTGTCGACAGATTTTCAGCAACATTATGAGTAGTACAAACTCGAGATCAATTATTTGACTTTTTAACTCATCGTTCCCATGTTCAGGCTACCTACTGTCACACACTAATAATGACTGCTTTGCGAGCCTAAACTCACTTTCGTTCTCTAAGTTGATATCGTTGTTCACATCCGTAAAGACCGAAACAATATTTGGGGAATAAGGATACGTCTGATGCTGAGTCTAGTCAGGAGAAATTATCTGAAGCTATTAAAATGGCTGCATGCTCTGCTAGGCTTTACAAACTTCGACATCAGGAAAGTGAAGGTCAAGGATGGGTTCAGGTACGGATTTCCAGGTCCGTAGGTGTACATCTCGGAAGGTCCCAAACCTCGGTCGTTATTATTATTATTATTACTATTATTATTATTAGGTGACTACTATTGGCAAACATTGCACTTTTGGACATTTGCGGAAGCAGTCTGGGAATGTATGTGCTGTTCTCTGGTTGCATGACTTCACTATTATTATGGCGATGTATTCTGTTAGATTTATGTCAAATACCTGTTCACTTCAAAATCCATGACAGCTAAAAGCTAGAATAAAGGCCGCATCTCCTTCCTGGCTTTCGTGCAATCGTGCGCAAGCTGGACTGTACAAAAATAGCTGAGTCAGTTTCGACGTGACGCTCAGTTATCATTTAGCAGCCTGCAAACATCAAGTAACCTATACAGAGAGAGGAAAAATATACAGCTTACTTCGAGAACTTCTGGGACTTCAGTACTTTCGCTTATAACTTTCAACACTTATTTGGATATCACTGGATAGTCATTAGACATCTTGGTCACCAATGCTAATAAGGTAATGAAAACATTCAACTCCTAACCCAGCAGTACTTGATGCCACAATATTCGGTATTCTTGTTCACAAAATATGCAGGTTTACTTACGTTTTCCATGATATCCTTGCAGTACTTCTCTGGTTCGGTGCCTTCTTCTGCTAACTGGACGCACTCGGTGGTAGAGCAGTAGGAATCATCTGGTTTGCACTGACATGCACGGCATCCATCATTGAACCTGTGAAAAAATCGAAACTGAACGTTTTAAATGTAAGACTCGACTACTTCTGTCGCTATACTTTATCTTGTCTAGTCCCATAACTTGAAAGTTTTCAAAACGATCTTAGCACATTCAGCTCGCGTGCGAGAATGTGGAATTTTTAGTTAATTAGGCAGGTACCCTACTGGGTCTCACTGAATGGAACTAAACCCTCAGGAAACCACGCTGTCAATCGTCATGCACTCGTAATGACACTTACTCAAATCCGAGTGGTTTATCTTTGCAGTATTCACGTTGATCGAGAATGCACTTGATGGCCAACTTGACCACGTTCCCTGTCCTCACCACTTGGACTTCAGGAGAGACACTGACCTCTATTGCTCCAGCAAAACACACCAGAAGCAGAATCGACAGCCGCGTTAAACAATAAACGTCCTTCCGTTTCTGGCAATTCATACCCCTCATGATTTATTATGCGTCAGCTTAGATGGCAAATATATAGCTGTAAAACTATACCACTGAAATAAATCAAACAAGCCTCTATTGTTATGACGGTTCTTATGAACTCAGAGAAGATAGAGAGCCAAGTGGAGTGTTTCTTGTCATTTTTTAAACCCGATGGTAACGGTTCCAGTGACTGAAGGTGCGGGAACTATTGATCCATAAAAGCCAAAAACAACTTATGTGGGATGAGCAGAGACATTTAATCAACCCTGTGATTAGCACGTTTCATATTTCGATGTGAGCTCCCTGCCAATTTCGCACTTAATGGACACAAATCGGCTTTGAGCTATTGATGGAATAAGATTGAGGAACAGTGCGTTCAGGACAAATATACTCATTTAGAAATCGATTTGTTTTTCACGGGAGACTCAGCTGAATCACTCGTTTATGATCTTCTTTGCGGGGTTTCGAAGGATTTTCAGCAAACTTGTGAGTGGTCTCCTTTATGAAAAAAGGATGCGCTCTGTGTCCGCTGGTTTCTCATGACATGAAACTGTTCAGTAGTTTCGTAATTTTCAAAACGAATCCGAAATTTCGGTGACTGACTGACAATGACAATCATAAGAATGAGTTCATTCTACTGTTTTTAGGAAGTAAGTCTATATAATTCCTTGACAAACTACGAACTGTAAGGTTGTTGACAACCGAACCGGTTACCCATGCAAAAAGGTGCCTTCTCAAGATAGAAATACCTCAGTATTGTGAGCACAATCTTAGCTAAAAACACGAAGTGGCATTTTTCGCAGCACACTTGGCTGGAGAAGATTACAAATAAAAGAATTGTCTGCGTCATAATCTAACGCAGCACAAATAAGTGTTCAACCCCACAATGGTGGTTCTTTCCATGGGTGAAATGATACGAAGAAGGAGCTAGACAATTTGGATGTGTTAACTGCGGTATACCGTTTCCATAATAACTGCAAAAAATAGCAAGCAATTTTGTTCAGAGTAGAACGGGGCATAGAATATCTACATAAAGATGCGGAACTTGTGACGAGGGGGGCCATCCGGGAGTCTCTCAGACGACTGTCGGCTGCAATGAGAACACACATTCGTGAAGTTGCACTGCATTTTCTTTAGCAGAAGAGCCTATCTTTTGATAAGAATCTGAGAATGCCGACAAACTCATCCACTTAAAGTACATTTTTACCCACAGGGACCATTCCACGGTGTCTTTGTGTGGAGTGAATTAGAGAACTCGTCCTTGAAGTCTGTCCTTTTTATGAAGAATTCTTTGGAAAACCAAAATAAGTCTAGGATAAATAAAGGATAAATAAAAAAATAAGTCTGCAGGATAAATAAAGGGTCAGAAGTTCAACAGATCTGCAGGTATGATAGCTACTGAGGAAAATCACGCCACTCAACACTGTGTCGGAAGTTAAATGAGGCAACCAAATCCAGAGTTCCAAAGTACTGATTTTCCTTTTAAATTGGATGGACCCTAAACGACAGTTTCAAAAACTGGAAAGGGTATGCCTCTGATTTTGCTAGATTTCCCGCCGAGTTGTTTAGATACGGTGATTAAGGCTTGGAATATGAGTTCCTTCGCCCAGAACAATCTCCATCTGGGAAAAGATATAACACTCGAGACGTACAATGTTATCGTGTTGCCTACAACTTCATACAACATTCAGATATCAACAGTGTGTCAGTTCCACATGTATATCTTTGATGGATTTCATCTGTGTTGTCCCCAGGTGACTCTAGTATGTTGATTAGAACCGATATAGAATATTTACTAAATTTCGACAGAAAAACTGAAGGAAACGGAATCAGGTTGATTCACAAGCATCTGCAAAACGTATCCATGATTCCACAAGGAGCGTTAAGCTCCGCGTTCTCAGTTTGTCGACTTCCAAGTGGACTTTATGGTTTAACAGTGAGGGTTTTTGTCGGTACTTTTAGTTAGTCACTTTAATTTATGCTCTGCATCTCAATTAAACACAAAAAATTCCGTTTGAAAGAAGTATTTCAACGGCTGCGAACAGACCCGGTCTCGTCATATTGCGGCGTGCTGTGGAATTCCTTAATCCAAGAACGTCATTCGACATACTTAGGTAACCTCGCGGATGGATTGTCACCAGAATTAAAAAGTTGGCAGTAGTATTACATTGGAGAGTGTGATTATGTCCTCGATAAACTATTAGCAAGCAATACAAGACACGAATAAGGAAGCTTCTTAGAACGATGCTTGTCCGACGTGTTCATGCGACGACAGTAACTTAAGTGAACGATACCGAGAAAAGCGCGTCACAGAATTGTGTCCAAATCACAACTGCTTCTGAGACAAACAAGATTCGGGTAGCCAGAACTTCGCAAATAACACCGTCTCCCCTACCTAAGTTTCATGACATCACATGTGGTAGTGGGCAGCCTAGCAAAAAAGACTGATAACGTGGAAGGTACGTCAAGTTGTTAGAACGCACTGTCAATTATTTAGCAGATGAAACTTTACATGTATCAACTGATAAAAGCATTTTCATCACCGGTATCTTTCACGAAACAGTTCCTCACGAAGTTGCAACAGGATTATGAATGGTTCAATGTCTTTAATCTGATGAACTTCCTACGAAATTCAGGAATCAGAAAAATAACATCCACACGCAGGACCATTCAGTGCACCATATGCTGATATTCACCTAAAACGGAACAGTCACTTTGAAACCAAGTAAGCAGATTGAAAAGGTGAGAAAACCTCCTGATGAGGCCGGTTTAAACGAATCCCAAATTTCTACCATTGTGCATCCCTTGAATAAGCAAAATATTTCCCAGAAGCAACGATTGTCCCATAAGAACCGTTTTAACATAAATACTAAACGATTGTTTATTAATATCCGGATTAGTATTCCAACTCCTCACACCTATTGATCCTCGAATATAAGATTCCCGCCCAAAACTAGCCATGACAAAACTGCAAGGATCAAGCGGGGTAATCAGAAAGCGTGCTACTGACATGACAGGAAAAATTTACTCACATCTCCACGTAATCTACCGAAAAATGCCCTCCACACTCGGTGCCTGTATCATTTGTCTGTAAGCAAGATATTTGGAGCTTGAACCGTTGAGGGTAACCTCGTGACCTTGCTGCGCAGCTTGCCTTTATTAGACCTGTCCAGGGGTAAGTTTCGTTTCAACATAGCACCTGTTGTGTAGATGCGCGGGTTGTGTATGACTTTGGTGCGTATTTCCATTCAGTGAGGCGTGCATCCTTCAGACCTGTGGGTTATTTAGTTAATGCCGCCAGATCAGTCATGTGCATGTCAGTTGACCTAAATTGAAAAGTAGGTGCGAATTCGCATGCATTTCCCTTCATGAGATAGTTAGTAAATAATGCGACAGGCCACTTAACTTAATTTTCGGAGGACACTGGACACTTGTTCGGTCGTTGGTGAGTTTAGAACAGATAGTGGGTAGTGTTAAACGTACTGTTCAGTTTTCATAAAGAAAACGACTCACAAGGTTGCTGAAAACTCTTCGACATCCCACGACCGGTTTTGCCCTTCTTGGGGCTCATCAGGTAGGCGCAGTCCCCGAGTTCCCGTCAACCTTATGTTCTACTTGAACATAGCTTTGTTATTTTACTGACTGAGGAAAATCCATCCCGGAAAACAAAGGACGGTGACATTTTTCGAAGCCCTTTTTAACATTAAGTACGGTGGCAAGCAAGGAAACGCCATTACAAAGTAAATCGGTCGTTCGAGATTAAAACTGATGAATTTGCCTCGCACCAGAACTCCACAAAGCCGAGTTTTAGTCCTTTTGTAAGTAAGGAAAAGTGTGATGTTTTTTTCCTCTCACCAAAGTGCCATGGCTCTCATATAATCAAGCATTATTCATTCGATGAATTACGAGATCTAATCCATTGGATTATTTATGAGTACGTATGATCACAGTGCGCAGCTCGATAAACGAGCCGCGTTTCACACCAGAAATAGTGTGAAATGAGCAACGGCGAACCCAAACAAATCTCTGAACCAGTTGTTGTACGACATCAATGAAAACTAAAATCACACGTAGTAAGTGCTAAATGCAAGCAAAGTGTATGCATAAGCCAGTCACCACCAGAATGAATAAAGAAACAATCAAGGCAGATGTATGTAGTATGAGGGGAATTGGGAATCCAGAATTCTTTCTGCACGTGAGGTCAGTCTACAACAAAATGCCCAAAAACACTGTGACCCATTTTGAGGATCATTAGCAGTGCTCATCTCATGGATCTTCAGAAATAATAGAACTTGCAACCCCAACCGGTAGTCGAAGACAATTCAAGCACGAGTGACTGGCCAGTAGTGTAACTAACTCGCCACAGATCCTGCAATAATCACAAGTAACTAGCTGATAACCCTGACGTCAGATGTTGATTTTCTAATCACACCACTTGAAGCTACAAGGGCTAATGGATTCGCAAAAAAAAGTCCAACACCATTGGTGTAGGGACCGGGTTACTCAAATCTGTATATTCTGTGAAGCGTTCGACTGATTCTCCACGATCCATTGTACCTCAACTTTAAAAGCTCGTTTGGTTTTGTTGGCCGCATGTATCTAACCGTAGGAGACATCTCATGAATTTATCTGACACTGTAGAAAGAAGAAAAATCTATTTCTACAAATAACGATGTTCGACGAGAATATTTGCTTCCAGAATTCTTGTTCAGCTTATCCCAGGGACAAAATATAAAAGAGGGCACTGCGGAGTGTTCGTATGACCCAAATCGCCTCTGATCTGAAATGCAGAATCGACATAGCTAAGCCTATAAGAAAGCGCAAGAACCATAAGCTAAACTGAACGCTACCATGTGTTTCGTGTGTGCAAAGCACAGTCGTTCTGTGAGAAAAGTTTCTGAAAAATCTTGTGGGAGTTGATGCCATTTGCTATGCAGGATGAACTCACTGGAACGCCAACTGTCTATGGATGGAAAGGTTGAAATATGTGACCCATAACCTGTTTGCTG